GCTCTTTCTCCTCTTTTTCAGTCTTCTTCTTAGATTTTGTTTCCTAAAAAATGTGACCATTATACATAAACCCTAGTCAAATTCTGCCCAAATGTTCGTCAGATTAACTCACATTTGTGGTTGTGTCCTCTCTTTTTTCGGCACCTTCAGTGTTAGTTTCATCGTCGCCTTCTGTCGTCGTGTTCTTATCAGTGGTGGCATTAGCCTTCTCCCCTTCTTTTGGCTCCACCTTCTTCTTTGGTTTAAAATTCTTCATCTTGTTCAATAAGTATTTAACCTCCCGGTCAAGCTCCCGAATCTTAAAATCAACGTAAAACGTGAAAAATCATTGTGTGGATCGTAGATACAACAAACGAAACATACCTTCGTAGCTACTTCTTCAGCAGTCACAACAGGTTCTTCATACTTCTCTTGCTTTTCGTAAGCAGCACTTCTCTCCTCCCACCACTCCGTCGTCGTGTTGATGAGTTTGGATAGAACCTGCGGAGGTAAGGAGTGGTCGCGATGCTTAATTTGAAAGGAGATTATGAGCTTACCTCAAGCTCGACTTCTGTGAAAACGGGATCATCGGAAGTGGTCAAATTCAATGCAAACTTATGAAATGATTGTGAATCATTGAAGATGTTCTTCATTGCTTCGACCATCTTTGGGTATAACTGAAAAGGCCTGAATAAGGGTACATGAGAGGAGAGGGAAAGGGTGGATGACCACACAAATATCCCACACGTTAATTAATCGTTTTTCTGTAATAGTAAGCGAGGAACAAGTAGTGTAGCTGGTAAAGCAAAGTTATAATGCTAGTGATATCAACACGAAAGATGCGCCAGAAAAGTGCGTAAAAGCGGAACCACGCACGAGCCTCTCCTTCTTTCGATTATGTGCAGCAGCGGTGAGGTTATCCAGAATTGCCTTGTTTGATATGAAATCTTCCGTGGGAGTATCAACACTTACATCATCCTCCATCCAAGTACGCAATCTTTTCACCTACAAAGAAGAACAACGACACTGCCGCAAGGTTGATATGCATTTGATAACAAAAAAACCTCTTCCGCAATTTTCTCCTTGTCATCCTTGGTTAGATATTCTGCAAATTCCTCTCCATCCTCAATTTTGACAGCCAGATCATAGACCTAAACACGCTAAAATTTGATAGAAGAATTTTGAGAAGAACAAAATAAGAATGAATGCTTTACTGCCTTACCAAACCTTCCAGCGCGTTCATGGCTTCTTCTCGTTTATGCTTTTGTTGCTCAGTATTGTGAAAATCACTCAGGCTGCAAAAGTTACAGTTTCGAATTTCCCAGATAAGTATAACTCAAGCAAGCAGCTAACATCTTCTTGGCTTCAGTCATCTGCTCTTCATTCAAGTCTAGGAAGTCCTTGAAGGTCATTGTAGTATTGAGACGTATTTTCAATGTCACAATTTTTGGCTCAACAGGAGCTTTCAGCGGCTTCTCTTTTTCGAGCTAAAAAGGGATATTAGTGGGAAAAGTACGTCAAAATACACTAAAACCTTCTTGTCTTCCTTAGGTTGCTCTGTACTTGGAGGCTCAGAAGTTTCGGTAGTTGTTGAATGTGAATCCTCAGTTTTGTTTTCAGATTTTGAATTTTCTTCTTCTTCACTTTTCTCGGCTTCTTCTCCACCTGTCTCATTCTTCTTGGCCTCCTCCTCTGCCTTTCTTTTCCGTTCTTCCACTTCCTTTTCCTCTTTCAACTTCTGTTCTGCTTCTTCCTTTTCCTTGCGGATTCTTTTGGCTTCTTCATATTCTTTCAAAGCTTCCTCATAAGCAGAGAGCTCTACAACACACATTGGAAAAAAAGAATTTGAAAGGTATGGTGAAGTTCACCTTCTGGTGTAGGTTTCTTGTCCACTACAAAGTCGGTCTTTATGACGGAAACAATTCCTGAGAGATCAACGGAAAAAGTAGTCTTTACACCCTGACATTAGACTCGTATGTTAGTGGCTTATAAAATTTTTTTCTAATAGTAGCTTAAAACCTACTTTGATCTCACATTCAGCACATGAACCATTATTTTCAATGGCGGGTGCTAGCCCAGTAACAGAAACCCGCGCTAACTCAGTTGATCCAAACTGCCTGAGAAAAGATGAAGGATTTAGTACATAACATGATTATAAACAACTAACTTTTTCTGTTCCTCGTTCAGGTGTTCAAGGGCGCCATATCGCAGATCAACCTCAAAAAAGCGGATTACCAAATTCTGGTGTACAACAAACTGCAATTTCAACCTCAAAATCGTCACTGTATGATTGGAATGTTACAATCTTTTTGTTCGTTGGATAGAAAGTTTTATGTCCGTATATTTGGCGAGAAACGTCCTTAAGACTTCCGTCCTCAGTCTTCGATTTGAAGGCGACCTAAAAATGTGCAGACTACAATAGAACCAATAGGAACCAAGAATACTGCAGACCTGGATTGGATACAGAACCATCTCCTTGACAGCAAATGGAAGCACTTTGAATGATTTGGAAAGATCGGCTGCTTGGTAAACAGCCCCCAGAGCTATTGCCTCATCAGTATTAAGAAAGTGTCCAATTTCCTAATAATGAGATATAAAAAATACAATAAATTCTATGTAAATAATAAAATCTTTCACCCACTTTTCCATTCAACACTGTCTTCAGCACTTCCTGAATTTTTGGTATGCGGGTCCCACCACCCATTAGAACAAATTGATCGATCTAAAAACGATGGATCAGGCCAAAAGCGGTAAATGTTAAGCAAGAGATAATTTACTTCATCAATTGTTTTTCCAGCCATGGCTAGAGCATCCTTGATAGGCTGAATGAAACGAGGTTCCAAATCGGCTATCATTTCCTCTAGCTCTTCGCGAGTAACCTTGAAAGAATGTGTTCAGCGAGAAAATACACTTCCCTCATTATGAAAGCGAATGCTATCAGATTAGAACCAAAGTATTACGGCTGAACACCTTGAAACTGAAGAACCAGAACAAGACGTACCTTAGCTCGAAAGTTTTGTTCTTCGTGAAGACTTTCTACTTGCGCAAAATGATACTTATTAGCGGACAAAACCTGAACGGATAAATGATACGAAAGCGGCAGATGATGCATTTGATTGATCTCACCTGTTTAACACGATCAGCTTCCTTCAACAATTTCGCCATGCTTCTCGCATTTGCTGTGATGTCAGTGGATGTTTTCATAGTTTCACGGACCACCTATCCAAAGAATAATGATATTCATGAAATAAGAGCAAAGAAAGAACTGACCTTCACTAAATGGTCTCTCATTCTGAGCGTAATTTCGTATCCTCCCAATGTCCTATCATAGCCAACTCCAATAGTTTTCACAACAGGATTTGACGTCTTCGACACCTTGCTGCTCTTGTCAGGTTCAAGAACATATTCAACAATTGTGGCCGTAGTCTGAGAATTATCTTTGATTAGAAAAACAATATTACGACAGATAAAGAATCAGAGATTGAGTTAATTGAAGCATGGAAACTTCTTGGTGAAGAAAGCTTGGTATTATATGTGGAAGATGCAAGTATAATCACAAATAAGTATAGCTACAACCACTTACTGACCTTAGTAGCTCCCATGTCATATATCATCATTGTTTGGGGTTTGTCAGTGATTTGCTTTCTACGAAATACTCCATAATTTAGAGCAGCGGCGGAACCATCATTAAGCAGCTATATGGTCAAATATTATGCTCTTCGAAACAATTCGTTGCTTTTCTAAACCCTACCTGAAGCAGGTTCAAACCGGCGATGTCAGCAGCATTGACTAGGGCGCGACGCTCGGCTTGATTGAAATATATGGGTACCGTTATTACACAGTCCTGTATAGGTTCTAGCTAGGTGCTACGCAAAATGGTTTTTTTTCAAACATACTTTAACCCTTTGCATGGCAAAAGCTTCAGTAGTTTGCCTGGCTGACCAGAGAACCATAGCAAGTAAGGTTTCTACATTGTAAGTGACGTTACTGCAAAATAAATTCGATTGAACACATTAAAAAAACTTTCTAAGTTATCCAAAACGAACAAATGCAAATGTAAACCAACTCTGATGGAAACACAACGGTGTTCCTCACTTCGTCGAAGCCTAAGGGCACGAAAGGGAACCTCTTCTTGAAGAGTTCGACATTAGGATCGCCATTTTGCTTAGCCAAAAGCGAAAGAATATGTTGATAACCAGCTTCTGGATACTTTGTAGCCTGAAATAACCTAGTGAGAAATCCAGAAAGAACAATATGTGTGTTATAAGCGTACAATTGCAGCTGCAGCCTCAGCGAAGAACCGCTCATTGTTTCTGATTACGAGAATATTTGGAGTTTTTCGGCGACTCTCTTTGTTCAGAACAATTTCCATAGGCACTCCGGGCTTGACAATAGCAATCTTGATGAACTCAGAGCCCAAGTCAATGGACATGGCAGCCAAGGCGCCATCTAAAAATCACTCTAAAGCGAAAATAAAGTGATTTTTTGAAAGAAAACACCTACCTGCATATGCAAACAGACAGGCACAAGCTGCTAGACCCAATAATAAGCGATGAAATGATGACCACGCGATCATCTCGCCCTAAAGCAGGAGGTATGCAAGAGAAACGAAGTAAAAACAGAACAGATAGAGGCGAATACTGCAGAAAAAACCAGAATATGCCATAACTTACATCCAACTAGCTAAATGAGAACTCATTAAAAAAAGTCTAGATATGTAGGAACCCCACTCCATC